AAGACCATGTCATGTCGAACAACCTAATATACTTAAATTATATGTGTTAAATCTGAACTCTATTGTTACATTTGATGGCACTATTTTGCTATTTGAGCTTCCTAGTGTTACATATTTTGCTCCCTCTATTTTGATGTTTGAACTTTCTATGTTGAGTTTGATTTGACTATGTTGAATAAATATTCTCATGCTGCATTTGAGCTGTTTATTTTGATATCTCATCGGGAAAAGGTGTAGTAGAAGAAAAAAGACGCACTGCGGTGTTTTTAGGTCGATAACTTTTTAGTTAAACTGGTTCGAAAATATTCTTGCTTCTCGATAGAAACCGCTCTATTAAAAAATTTTTTTTTACAGTAGTGTGCCTCTCTTTCTCCTCCTCTCCTGTTTTCTTTCTTTCTTTCTTTCTTTTTTGGGGGTTGTATTTTCCTTACCCAAGCAGCAATTTAAGATTATGTTTGTAGTGGTTAATGGCCAAACAAAAGTCTTTATTGTCTTTTTTTCCCCCTGACCTTTATTTATAGAACATAACTTCGTTTCATGCAGTTACGCTACACAAACAAGGAGGATGTGACCGTAGCGCCTCTGCGGCCACATGCTGACTCCATTCTTCTGGAGTTCAAAATGGAAGGGGTCGGTCTGCTGGCAAAACTCTGCATTGAAGAACTGAAGCCAAACAAGCACTCTAGTGCTGCATGTGGGGACACCTGATTTACTCTTTACCGGAATGCTGTGTCTGGAGATTTATGTTTTACGTTTTCAGTTTTGAAGGAGAAGTGTTATTTCCTTTTAGATATAGGAGCAGACGTTCCTATGTGTCATAGGATACTGTAAGACAATGCAAAGAAAATGCACCGGAAATAACGTTTGAAAGATTGCATATAACCTGTTAGTGTTAGGTAACTGCTATTTCACGCCCTTTACTGGCCTACAGATTTTATTAAGTGATCTTTTGAATAACCCGAGGCCAGTGTGACTTACTTATCGAAGTCACGATGTCAAATTCTAAGACGACGACAACAACAACAACAACAACAACAACAACAACAACAACAGACAAACAAACAACAACAACAACAACAACAACAACAACTACAACAACAACAACAACTACAACAACAACAACTACTACAACAACAACAACAACAACAACAACAACAACAACAACAACAACAAATACTACTACTACTACTACGGGTTGTTTCTACGTTAGGTTTCGTGAATGATGAGTTATCTTTAAGGAATTTACCTTATCAATTTCGGATGAAACTAGGTGCTCGGAGATCATTAGAGACATTTTACTATGGGAGGGGTAGCAATGTTGATTGTAAACGTTTAACACAGCCATTGACACAACTTCTTTAGAGAAGGTAGATTTTTAATCGACTGTACTGTGAGTGTCTTGCTGGGCCTACCAGCGTTTCCAGGGATTCTGTGCCCCCCTCTTCCAACTCCCCCCCCCCGAAAAACAACAACGGGAAAATATACATATTCTAGATAATGTCTTCCCCATTTGGGAATCCACTTCGTCTTTATCATGCAATGCGACAGAGAATAACATATCCCCAAAGCAGTCTGAGTTTTGGATTATGTTGTCGACAAAGGCTTCAGGATCATTCCATGTTATTTGTTTATGTGTCATCATATTGACATTACTTTTAAATACATATCAAACTTTTTAATACATATCAAAATGTCTGTGGATAGGTATCGACTGATTCAAGTAGATTTGTACATTTAAAATATTTTCGTCGGGTCTCTCAAAAGTCCGGGAATGCTCTAAGTATGTATCTGATAGTAAAATTGGTAGTGCATCCAATACATATATTATGTATATATGTATTGAAAAAATTAATAATGTAAGAACGGCTTTATCACTTCTTAGATTTTTATTCAGCCGGCCATCACTCCCGAGTTATGTGTGCCCCAGCAGTTTCACTTGTCATGGAATGGCCCTTTTATTTAGTGCCTGGCTAAGACAACCGTTTATTCACCCGAGCCTTCAGTCGCATGGGATGAATGGTAGATATGGCATAGTGCGGATTTAAACCCCCTTGCAACGTAAAGCAGAATAATTTTGTTTCAGATGCTTGGTATCCGAATCTGACGCCCGTATCCGTTAAGACCAAACCAAGTCGGTGCACAGCCTCAGAACTCCTCACACAGCTCAATGGTGGCAACTGAGCTAACGACATGCCGGAGGGACTAAAGTAAAGTTTTTCCAGCATCCGATCTGGGCATTGGGGATTGCTTTGTTAGTGAGACAACTTCCTGGGTCTTCGGCATATTATGGTAGGGTGGCTAATTCCTTTCCACGCCGCCTTTACTTTCCGAACTCGAAGTCAGGTGCCCATTACTGCTGAGTGGGCAGGAGGGGGCGAAAAAACCCCCAAGGTTCGAACCCGAACTTTCCGCTTCGGAGACGAGAGCGCCGTAGGGACTAAATGCAATAAAATACCATTTATGTAAATTCGTTAATGTTAAACATACAATTAAAATTTTTTTAATTTCATGTTTTTTTCACAGGAGAATGAACGGCCGTGGCTCCAGCCGAAGTCAGACGAACGGCCAAGGTCATGGTCACATCCCTGGAAGTCACAGCAGCGGGGTCAAAGGTGAAGGCCAACAGCAGACACCGCGTCAGGGTCAGCAGCAGTCGGGAGATGGAGGGCCGGGGAACATCCCCATGCTGCGCGTACAGCCAGACACGCCCGTGCCCCCGTCCAACCACAGCACGCCGGGCCCCGGAGACAAAGGCACGTCACTTCCGGCCATTCCCTCCTACTCGCCCGGCCTCGTCTCCTCCGGCAGGCCCTCTCCAAAAGACACGTTCAAGCACAGCGGGAGCCGCGGCAGCATCCTCCACCACCACCACAACAACAACAACAATAATAATAACAACAACAGCAGCAGCAATAGCAGTGTTGCCAAGAATAGAGGCTACAGCACCGCGCGTGGCACGGGAAACTCTACGCACCTCAAGATCACCCCGACCGCCACCAGCACTTTCCCTAATAAGCATTTGAAACAAGGTGAGAGGGAAAGGGAGGGGAGTTGGAGGGATGGTGGGAGAGTGTGTGTGTGTGTG